GTGACCTCTTGTCACTGGCTGCATATGTCCATGAGCTGCAAGCAGCTCAACTCATGAGTGATTAGAGAAAAAATAAATAAATTATTATCATAATATTACAATATAATTTTTTTTTCCAGTCGTTTTAATCATATTGCCTGATCCCTGGGTTGGGAACCGCTGATCTTGTATCAAACAAAGAATAAAAATTTAAAAAATGAAACAATAACAAAACAAGGCAGTTTGTGCATTTAGCAAATCATCACAGCTAATGTGCGCTATGACTCATCATACAACTCACTGACTGTACGCCACACTGAAGGTCAAAGTACTCTGGCGCTGAACGGAAGGCATGTGACTCATCACAGAAATAGCACATTCAATTAAAATTCAGTTGTGAAAGACACAAAGGAGAGCAGCAGCTAATACTTCATGTCTTTTCCTCCAATGACACATTGTGATTGTTCCGCTTCGCCGGCTTTAGAGATGGTTCTGTGTTCATCCTCCCAGTTGGCCTGTGGGGCCTTGTGAATAAACACATGGAGGTTAATGTCTCATGTTCTTCCCAGTTCTCTGCAGACAGCTCTGACAGGAGGAGAGAGAGAAGAGCCTAAAAGGAAAGCTGTTTCAGTAATACGCTAATCTAGCTCTCACATCTCTTTGTTTTAGGCAGTGAGACGGGATATTTTCCCCAAGCTACAGTTGAGAAGCACATCTCGAGTCCGCTGTGGGTGAGCTGTCAAGGGGAAATTCTATCTCCTATTCTTTTCTTTCTTTTTTTTTTTTTTTTTTTTTGTGAGAACACCCCTCATACCCTAAGGGGTCTTTAGTGAACTTGCCATCACCCACACATACTGGCAGCAGAGAGCACGCACTTCCACGGTCCCGCACACGTCACCGAGGCGATAAACAGCCAGGGGCCTCACCACAGAGATAAGGCTTCCAAGCAGTCTATCAAACAAACAAAGCCAAATGACGAATCTGGAGAGATGTTAAGAAATGACGCCATATTGCCCATGTATCTCCTCCGCCTGCCTGTTTTTCCATCCACACAAACACACAGACACACACATATATATATATATACTTGTACAGCCTGTCCTGGAAAAATCATTAGAGCCCCCGCCACCCCACACACACACACACACACACACACACACACACACACACACACACACACACACACACACACACACACACACACACACACACACACACACACACACTGCATGCAGATGTAGGAAAACAGGGCTGAGAGCCAAAACGCCGGAGGGGCTTTTCATGACAATAACCTTCTGTAGAGCTGCTTGTATCCCTCCACCTAGATCACGGAGAGGTGCTGAGGGATGGATGGGAAAATAAGTGAGATAACCATACAAAATATTAGGCGAGGAACATTCACACAAAGTACAGAGGAGGAAGAAATCCGTGTCATTTTGCTCTCATGGCCTGGAGAGATGGCAGGCTAAATGCTCTTTTAAAACAGCTTGAACATTGAAATGATGATGGCTCCTTTTGCCTCAGCAAAGCACATTAATACATAGCCGAATGCCATTTCCACTTTTGTTAAATGGCTCACCTATTGAGTATTCAATTACAATGGCTGTCTCTCGTTTGGAAGACGGGGCTGGGACCCATATAAATAAGCTCCCTCTGAGTGTGGAGCTGCAGAACGCATTGGACAGCAATGGAAGACATGTGGAGCTCCTGTATGGGGGTGGTATATAATGTTAATGGCAGAGGAGCGAGGAGGTTGTTGGGTATTGGCTGTGGGGCAAAAAAAACTAAGCTCCTCATCTGTGGTACCGTTTTATTAAGGAAGCACATTTTTAAACCATTTGCACAGATAAAAAAAAAAAAAAAAGAGCCCAAGCACATGAAATGATCTAAATTGAGAAAGCCATGAATCCTGGCTTAGAAAAACATCAGTCAGGGTGATTAATTCAGTCTTGATTAATTGTTCCATTTGTCTATGATATGTCTAAAATTCCACAATACAAATCCGCCAGTAATGGTCCAATCCTCCCCCCCCATTGTGTGGTTTATCTCTTATGCTCAAATAGCAAAAGCAAATTGTGGCTAATTTTATCGGCGAATCCACTGGCATGTGGTTTTTCCAGCAGTAATGATTCCCTCATTCGGGCCTAATTAACTGCAGCCATTAAATGGAGAGAAATGTAATGCCCAGGGTTCCATGTCAGGTAGTCAGAGGAGGACAGCACAGGAGGACTCAATTAGGCCTGTGCTGTTCCCAGGTTATCACACGACATGTTTGCCAATTAAGTGAAGTAGCGTCTGATGTCTATGTGCCTCCGCCGGCACCATCTCGGAGGCCCTGGCAACGCAGAAACGACGTCGCTAGCCTCTCCACACACCCCCCTCTCCACCCCCGGACAGACACTACACTATGCCCCAAAAAGGCAGTAATTACAGGATGGATGGGAGACTGTTATATAAGTGCAGAGCTGCTGATAGGCCAGGCAGGGCCTGCTGATGCCAGGTTTCAAACAAGTACCAGCAGGATCGAGTTACAGCAGAATTACCCAGGGTAGACTCAGTGACAAACACAGACACATTTCAACATCAGAAGCAGGCAAAAACAAGAGAAGAAACACAGGCTATTGACATTTTTTGGAGTCTGTGGTGTTGCTGTTATGGAATTTCAAAATGATCAAAAGTGAATTGTGATCTGACTGAAATAAGATCCCAGTCATGACAAATAATCCAGCACTCGTTTCTCAAAAACTTCAATCTTGCCTAAAATTATTATCGGTCGCTTTCAAAACATCAGATCTTACAGCTGCTTTAAACATATTTCCCCCAAGTGTGCGAAGCTCTGTATCGTGACTCAGTGAGTGTGGGAGAGGAAGGAAGAGACAGGCAGACACATTAGCCTTCCCTTATGGCACATTCTGCAAGGCTATTGGAGTCAGTCTGCATGATCCTGACTGTCACTGACTTGTTATGAAAGCATCACGGGCTGAGGCTGATCCATCACTTTGGGGGGTGGAAGTTGGGGGGCGAGAGGAAGGCCAGGGGGGCTGGAGGGGGCGAGCGTGGGCGAGGCAGCCCTGTTGCCTGTCACTCACCATGCACCACTGCATGACCGCCAACCTTGTCTGGCTTGTGCACAATGGGAGGTCTGGGGCTTGACTGTATGAGCAGTCATTCCCCACTCCCTCTTCCCAGCAGCCAACACAGAGGAAGGCCAAAAGGAGTCAAAACACTCTGGACAGGCATTAGTCCTATACAGACCCTGGAAGACCTCACTGCTTGAGGCAGCTGAGTGGTGAATATCTGCTCTGTTTCCCAGTGAATCTCTTATTTTGGCGGACTTAGCCGGGTTCAGTTCCGGAGAGCAAGCCCTGACAGAGTCTCCAAAAGATAATCTCCTTCAACAAACATACATTGCAATTATCCAGAGTCATTAAACTGTAATGACTGGAGGTGTGAGCAAACTTCTTACGCAAACAGTTACAGTACCACCCACCCGAAAATACATAACGCTTGCAAAATGTACGCCGTGGTTTAGGAGACAGAATCGTTCCTCACAGCAATTAGGGAGTGAGAGAGAGGTGCATATGTAAAAGGGAGGTTTTATATTGGGAGAGGAAAGAAAAGAGGGAAAAAGCTGAAGTCAGCAACAGCAATAAATCCTCAAATGCTGAGCAGTTTCTTCCAGATCTGTCCTGGTCTGTGGACCCCATCTCTACCCAAAGACAGGGCTCTGTTTAGTAGCTTTAGCAGTGGGGAGGCGAGTTCAGTCCAATGATCGTACACCCCTCCCAGCCCTCCCAGCCCCCCCCCCCCGCCACCGCTCCCTCCCCCCTCCGAAGGTGCAGTTTGTCCAGGCGGTGCCTCCGACTCAAGCTCAGCTGGCCTATTAGAGGATACTTCCCAACAGCACCACGGTCTGTGACCACAGCTTGACCTCCAACCAGCTACTCACTTCCGCAGAGCCGAGAGAAATCAATAGATTAACCGGCATGAAATGGCGATGCGATTGAGATGAATGATTACCGGACTAATTCTTATTCATCTCTTTATGTTGCAGTGATAAGTGAGAAGTTAAATTGATACTGAGGAGAAACAAGAGCAATGAGTGGAGTGAAACAGTGGATGTGGCGTTTTAGCTTTGATTTAAACAAGGTGAGAGGAAATAGTGTTAAACTATATTGAACATACTTCACCAACATTGCACAGTCCTTTGAATTTGATATCTTCATAGAAATATTCAGTCTTTATCTAGTTCTGGGTTCTAGGGCTTGGATGAGGATGAACTGTGTTTAAGTTCAAACTAACTCATGACCATTAAATTAATCGTGTTTCAGTATATATACAGCCTTTCACATTTACATCAAATAAGCTACAGTTTAGAAAATTATATATATATATATATATATATATATAAGGAATTAAAACAAACACACAGGAGGGAAAGTGGAGGGATAGAAAAAGACTGCAAGTATGGACAGAGGTCAAGGCGAATTTTAAAGGCAGTACCTTCGAACGCTCAGCAGTGCTTTCAGCTAGATGCCAATGTCGGCATGCTAACATGTTCACAATGACAACGCCATCAAGCTAATGCTTAGCAGGTGTAATGTTTATCATGGTCACCATCTAAGTTTAACTTGTCAGCATGCTTACATTTGATAAATAGCCCTATATACTAAGTACAGCTGAGGCTGATGGGGATATTAGTTTTGGAGGTATTCGATCATAAATCAGTTTGTTGGACAAACTGAACCAGATGATGGTGCGTGACGGAATGGCTGTATGACAGACTGACACTGACATCTCCGGAGTTATCCCAGCATCATGGCTAAAAACTCCACTGTGTTTGAATTTGTAATGTTTCACTTCAGATTTTGAGTTTATCTACTGAATAACCTAAAAAAACAAATAGGCAAACTGTAAACACAACCTCTTTTACTGACATAAATACAAGCATAAACACAAAAACACGTGCACTGTTCACCTTAATCAGAACAATGGGTTAGCAAATGTCTTGTTTCACTTACCGTCTCGTTGCCAAACAAGATGTCAACATAAGGCATGATCATCATCAAGGGCTCTTTAAAGAACTGGCTGATGAAGGGTGCTGAGAGGTTCATGCAGAAGATTTTGTTGTTATCTGAAGCGTGCTTCGCCACCTTGAGGATTGACTCCGGGGACACAGTCAGGAAAAAACCCTGAAAACAACACAATATTATTTACTTACATGATGTTTTCAGCTGAATCAAGCAAATTAATCTGTACAGTAATGCTGTACAGGCTTCATTATCTGTGTTTTGACAACACAACAGGGGCCAGAATGGATTGAACTACAGGCCCTTATGGACTGAAACACTTTAAACTGCTAATTTGTGGGTTCTGGATTCTGACAAGGCAATTTTAGGATGACAAGGCTTGGTATTACTGGAATAATAGAGGAGCCGTTCAAAAAAAAAAAAAAAAAAAAGCAGCAGTAAAGCTCAAACATTTATCTGAAATGTTTTCTTAGAACATACACAGAGCAACAAAGAAGAGGAAAAAAGGCAGGAAAAAATCCATCCAGGACAAAGCCTGTGGCTGGGCTCCAAGGCTCGTACTGGAGGAAGCAACATGCACGTATCCGATGATAGGGCGAACAAAAGTCTCGTCTGGACTCTCCTTACTTGGAAACAAGAGAGGCAGGTCCACTCATTGTGTGAATGAATACAAATCAGGTAAGAAAACACCTTTGTGTTTCAGGTGGAAACCTGAAGCGAGACTCTCCTGCAAGCCACACAAAAACACTCCTCCTTTGATACTGATCTTCTTAACCTTGTTTTTCAGCAACAAGCTGCTCTGTAAAACCACTGTGTCACAATAGGGGCACAGGGGGGAGGAAAGCTTCAGCACAGTGATACATTTAATCTAGCTGAAAAGCTTCCATTGTGGGCTACAGTGCAGTTCTCATTAAAGCGCTATGACATTTGCAGCAACGGAGGAGCGACCTCCATGAAAAAGAAAAGGGTATAATACCGATGAATAGAGGGCGACTATGTAGTCAGTCAAATGTACAAGGCATTACAATACAGCCATGCTAAGCAGGTGAATTCTTTATTACACATTCATGGTGTCATTCACTCTCTGGGTGGACATTGTCGTTCTTCTGCGGTACTGTATGTCCTGTGGTTTTTTTTGGGAAATGTCTTTCAGTTAAGGCCCAGGTCAGTGCCTGTGGTTGCTGTGTCACGGTACCATCTGTCGAAGACTAAAAAGGTGTTTTCAATGGGTCCGGGAGCAAAGAAGGAACTCACTCTGGGCTAATGGCCCATCAGTGACCCTGACATTTTTCTTTTGCGGTGTGCCAACGTGTCAGAGGAAGGGGAGATTGTTTTCTGACACAAATGGTCTTTTTTTGGTAGTTGAAAATAAACTGTCATGGTTACCGTAATGTTAACGCTGATCAAAGGCCGGCGGCTCGATCAAATATCCTGAGGGGTGGTGAACTTTAAAAGCCATGCCACAGCTTCTCTAATCACACACTGGCTCTGTGTAATTCACTTCTAACCTCAGTACCACTGCCAGTGTCATCACATTAAATCGCCCAGAACTCAATACTGAAAATACATTAACTGATCTCTGAATGAATTATATCCATGCAACACTGAAATACTCTTACTAAAGTACTGTTATACTTCATCACCATTTGACCACTCCAGTCCCTTTAATGTGCTGGAATTAATTACGAATCTAGAAAAAATACTGCAATTTCAAGACAGACAAAAACATGCATCATAAAATTACACAATAATCTTTAACACCTGGGATTGTCCCAGGAAGTTGAGATGGAAAGCCACATTTAGTCCTGTGATCAATTTAGTTAGTAGGCCTAAACAGGTCATTGGACATATGGCATTTGCTGTGTGGAATATTGCCTATACACTTTCCCCAAAAGGGTTAATGTTTCATTTCAAAAAGTGTATTAATCTTTACAATGTCAAGGCCCAGTTCTGCTGTACACAAAAAGGCAGGAAACCCTGTAAACTAACCCAGAAAATGAATCAAAATGATAAAATACAACAGTAACAAACATCTTACTGATGAATCATGGAATCTTCGGTCTGTATCTGTCATCTAGTGTACACATTCATTAACATCTGTCAAAAATAATCAGCTTTGAAGCACAGAAATTATCATTATTTTTAAATCAATCCACTTTAAAAACCTTTTTGCGTGTCTCTGTTTTTCAAGTCAAAGTAATGCTGCAGGAATCTCGTTCATAAAAATCATACAGGCCATTTTTTCCACCAGGCTCCAAATGTTGTGACTCCAGTGGCTTGTGGGGGGAAAAAAAAAAAAAAAGCCACAATCTGAGCCATGTGAAATTCCAGTTCCCAACAGCAGTCTGTGCCGACTACGAAACAGGAGAAGTTAAGTCTTTAGTTCTGCGGTGCAGATCATGTATCAAGAATACCAGATCCAGTTTCCCAGGTGTCAGAGAGCCTTGTGAAGTGGGGTGACTATCACATTTCCAGGTCAAGATGATCAAAGCCATGGGTACACTTCGTACAATTTCCACCCAGCCAAAACATCCAATAAAGCATTCAGAAATGCATTTTCCTGGCAGACAATAATGCGGAGCGATGTTTGGCCATGTCAAGTGGTAATTTGAGGGAAGAGTTGGAAAGGCAGGGCATCCATTTTCAATGTTTACCCTAAAAAGAGGAATGACTTCCACTTAGTCACACAAAGAAAATGTCTAAATGCTACTCTGAGATGAAATTAGTGGTAATCTAACCATAGGTCCTAACGACACAGCAGCAGCACGCTATCACACTTTCCCCTGCATTGTATCAGTGTTTTCCCCGGGGCTGCTCACATCTGAAAGGCTGGGTGTGATGGATGGCATGGTGTCACCAGGCTTAAAATAAAAGTGGACATCTGAAGGGTAAAAATGATCTATTTTGGGAAGGGCATTTTCATTTACACCAGCAGCAGAGGTGGTCATGGAAAAAGAAAAAGCTTTTTTTCCCAGGTCTATTTTAATTCTGCAGGGATAAGGGGGAGTGTTCAAAGTACTGTGTCATGGAGGTTTTGTTTGACACTTCCTATTACTCAGGAACGACAGAGGGAATTTAAACCATCACTGCCTCAGTGAAAAGAGTAATTATGGCCATTGCAATCACACTAAATTTCATCAGATCTTTGTCAAGTTTATTTGTACAACTACAAGTGTTAAGTTTAGGGCTTCACAAGCTAAATAAAAATTATCCTTAAAGTTGCTCTTATCAATACTTTTATATTAACAACAGATGAAATCACCATGTATAATGTAAAAGGGTTCTCTTGTGGTGACAAACCCACAGAGATATATCAACTTTACAGTTCCAGTCTTTCATCTCATTGTGCTGCTGTTATGGCCCACGACTTTACAGTTTCGATTAAGTGAAAAGTGTCAAAAGTCTCCAGATGCAGCAGGCAGCTGTTTTGATAAATTGACTTCTGGACAGCACCAAACATCAGACACACAAAGGCAACTAGCTGGTAAACATAGTTGAGCTTTTGGCCACTGAAGAGCCACATAATTCCCCAAGGAGCTGCTGGAGACCAAAAACAGAGCTAAGAGAGAAAACTGGAACATTGGATTGAGACTGGTGGTGGCCAATATATGACTCCAAATGAATGCTGATGTTGCTCAGTGTCTGCTGGATGGGGATATTTACATCATGATTGTCCAGACAGAGACCTTGATTGTCAACATGATAATTTTTCTACAGTTGTGCAATTCTTGTTTTGGTGTCCGCTTGGCCTTCAGAGGCGCAACTGTTACCGGATTGTATTTCCTCATCTCCCCCACTACCTGTCGTAACACCCCGGCTCAGGATCGATCTATCATCGCTATGCGAGTGTGCGAGCGATAGAAAAAGCGCTGTATGTTAAAGTGCTTTATGAATGAATGGGTGAATGTGGCTCGTATAGTGTGAAGCCCCTTTGAGTGGTTGATAAAGCGCTATATAAGTGCAGCCCATTTACCATTTGCAGCCCTTTGCGTTGCTTTGATGAAGTGCTGTATCGGTCTGAATACAAGCGAAGCCAAATGCAACAGATGAACTCAAGGATTCAGGTCTTGGTGCGAGCTCCGGCCGGCACGAGCTCACTCATGGGTTGTAATTAACCTTTCTTCAGCTCTTGGCCTCTGTTGGCCAATGGAAACACATTGTTTGACAATAAAAGTCATTATTGGAGCTGTGTGCCTTCACCCTGTTTAGTACAATGTCACACTACAAGACTAACAAACCACAGTATTGCTCCGATACACTGTTTACTGTTTGTGATTGTTCTGCTCAATATTTGTTTCCTACCCAACAAAGGACATCATCCTTTTTTGGGACTAAGTAAGGGGGGATTTAATTGGATGGAGGGTTAATGTGACTGTATGTTCAGACCCTTAAGGAGCCTATTCAGATAAGGAAAAACTAACATCAGGAAAAAAAATAGGAGACACATCAGTAGGAGCAACAGAGTAGAGGCAAGCATGCAATAGTTACTACTTGTAGAAAAGTAGCAATGGTAGAGTTACAATACAGAGACCCAGAAATACAATACTTATTGTATTCACTAAAATGTAGCATAGATATAACATTTTGCAAAGGGGTAGAGAGTACAGCAGCGTTTGTTCTAGTAATAAATTCCTGGTTGTCAGGAAAGCCCTGTGAGCTAACCAGCAGAGTTTCAAAGCTTTTCAAAAGCCGCCCCGGCCATGCTATCCCTGTCATTACCATAGAAAGCCCCCCATCATGCTCTCTGGTGCACAGGGTTCATTACACAGAATTAGATGTCACACAGATCAGAGCGCGCGTGATGCCACACACTGCTCTCCTCCTCAGTTATCTCTGTAAAGCACCGTTGCGAGGTGGATCGATAGCTGAGGTTTGGAGCTTCATTAGCTCAGTATGACTCCATCTCCATCAAGACACCTCTGGCACGCTACGCTAGTGTTGCGAGATATATTTTACTCCCCGATCCTGAAGGTCCTGCTGTTTTACACCCAAACACACAGGGACAAACAAGACCTTCACTCATGGCGGGGGGTGTGGGGAATCTGTGTCAGTCTCTGGCTCGATAAACAGCAGAAAGAAAGAGGACAAACAAACAGAGGTAAGTGATTAATGGTGTCACAAAGTGCCTTGAGTGGAGGAAAAAAAAACTGCAAGGATGAAAA